TCATCTCATCAATATATTATCCTCAGTAGGAATAAAATCAGTACAATTTCCACTTTTGCTACCGCTTTTGATGCCACTTTCCATAATTAAAACACTGAAAACGTACTATTTTACATAAAAACTCGCAAGCGATTGTTAAAACATTGAGCAAACTTTGATTGAGTTTCGAGTGGAATGGAAGGGACAAGATTAGTAGAAAGAGAGAAGTGTACTGCGGAGGATAATCGGAGAATCCCCGGTCATCAACACAGCAAACATCGCAAGATCAGAATTCGGTTAGATACACGCACGGTCGAAATATTCAAAATATGACGTAAAACTAAGCATTCGGGAGCAAACTTTAAATTATAGTATTTAAGCGTACTATCCTGAAATGTGGATAGTATATAGAACACAGGGCCAAATTATAGTATAAATACTATAATTATAGTACAAAATCCAACCCTGCTAGCGACTGAGGACTAATACAGAAACATTCACACCGACATTGTGCATGTGTGCGTAAACAGTGACGTGTCATAGAAATGTTTTTCCGCGAAATTTGATTTGTGGGCTTTATTACCCCCTGGGCCTTATTTACCTCAGGTACCTTATAATTATAAAGAAATACATATTAAACATCCATCCCCCCTTACCTGAGCACTGCAATTTACATTATATCACGTTTTTTATCGTATCAAACTCCATAGTAGTTTGACAATAGATCGTGATAAAAACGCGTTATATATCATATCGATTGCTCATGCTAGTGGGGGCTGGACTGGAGTACAAATGCTCGTATTCATCACACAAACATTTGCCCGCGAGATAAGAAATAAATGTGATGCAAATAGATGTGACCCGCGTAACCTCGGATATGCGTAGCTTAGCATAATGTGCTAGTAGTAACGCGCCAGTTGCATTGGAGATCGCGACACGGACGAATAGCGATAAAAATATAAATAAGCCTAATTGTTCAATACTTCAGTGCAAAAACGTTAGCCATAAGCATATATCCAATGGAGGCATAACATACCATCGCACAGAATAGAAGTCTGTGTTCATTATAGCGAGACAAATCATCACAGCACTACGGCGCCAAGAATGATGCGCATACGCAGCGGGTTTTTTCTATTATTTCACAGGGTTTTATCCACATCACACAGAAAGAAGTTAGAAGGGTGCTAATGGACCGTTTCTACTGGAACCGATGTCGCTGGCTCGCCCCCACTACACTTTCACCCAATAGATAATAGCCATCAAACGATGCGACAACAAACAATCGACCATATCAAAATTAAGTTTTGGTCAAATTATAAGCATTTACTCATACTGTGGCGCCTCAGCCCCGCCCACCTTAAGAGCTTAGCTTTTTCTGTATTCTGTGGTTTTATCCACATGAATATGCCACCCTCATCGACCCATTAAAGTACTAAGATCCGAACCTACATCGACCTTCACCGAGCTGATAATAGAAAAAACATATTTTTAAATGAATTTAGTACCTATATTAGAAAATATAGTAATAATGGATTGCCTAAATAATCCTGGACAGACAGAGAAAAAATGCAATATCATGATAATAAGAAAATGTTGTCCCGACTTAAAGTATAAAACGTATAGAATGTGCAGCCATTAGATAACGTAACTAACATCGACATACCTATTTATGGCTGGCAACCCAGTACTTTGCCCAGATAAATAATAGACAACCCAACGGCTGCACATTTTATACTGTAAATCAGGACAACATTTTCTTATTACGAGGGCGGGATGATATGTAACTAGCCTCTGCTATTTAAAAAGTTAAAATTTAAAAATTATTTATGTCATTTTTAAATTCGTATCTCTGACCACCTGTGTTCTTAATTTGAATTTGGTGGCGCGAAAATTTTATTGATTTTTTGTCATTAGAAAATATATTTCGTCAACTGTTTTCAAAATGGATGAAATTGAACAAAGAGCGGTGATGAAGTTTCTTCATATGAAGGGCATGTAGGGGAAAGATATCTATGACGATTAAAGAATGTTTTGGGTGAATATGCTCCTTCTTATGCCACAGTAAAGAACTGGGTGCCTGCGTGGCCAAAGATACGAATTTAAAAATGACATATATATTTTTTAAATTTTAACTTTTTAAATAGCAGAGGCTAGTTACTTATCATCCCGCCCTCGTATCTTGATGTTGCAACATTTTTTTTCAATTAATAAAAATAGACTGTCCAGGATTTTTTAGGCAAACCATTTTTAATGTACTAATGTACTTAATTCATGATAAAATATGTTTCATTCTTTTATCAGCTCGGTGAAGGTCGATGTACAACGATTGTAGGTTCGGATCTTAGACTAATAATAATTATCTCTTATCTTCGATCCACTGATATTCGTAAGGGGCCCATATACGGAACGATTGATCTGTACGATCCGTCGTTTCAGACCAATCGAAACGATGGATCGACAGTGTATGTCAAGATCGTTAACGATTTACTTAATCGCAGACGATATCGGAGATCGCAACAAAAACCCATGCAATCATGAATATCGTAAACGATCGATCGTCAGTGTCCCATATACGGTACGATTGATCTGTACGATCCGTCGTTTCAGACCGATCGAAACGATGGATCGACAGTGTATATCAAGATCGTTAACGATTTACTTAATCGAAGACGATATCGCAAATCGCAACCAAATCCCATGCAATCATGAATATCGTAAACGATCGATCGACAGTGTTTCGTGTATGTAGTGGCATTTCTGAACGATCGATCGTAACGACGAATCGTTCCGTATATGGGGCCCTTTACTAGGTTATACATTTTAATAGCCCTTTCTGATGTAGGTTTTATAAGCGGCGAAATCTCGAACGAAGCGAAGAACGTGGCGTGCGGGACAACACAACAGTGAAGGTTGTGTTAACCTCGACAATGTTTGTACATCTTTCCTCTCGTTTTCCTGCAATTTGTGCGAGTGATTTCGTGAAATGGGACGGAAGTGTATAACAAGAAGTCGCGAAAGCGAGCGCTATTTGCTTTGATTTTAGAACATAATGTTCAAATGGCTTATTCCTTTTGTAGTAGTTTTTTTTTACTAATATAAGGTGAGGTTTCAAAAGTTACACATCATACGCGACTACTGAAAGGCTCGCTCGTTTTTTTCTCATACCGTCCCGTCCGGCCCGTGTTATTTTGCCACGTATATTTTGTTGCTGTATTTTCTTAAGAAACGATGTCAGGAAATCGTCCCTTCCCGTCTAGCACGAGAATAACACGAGAACAAGACTATACTAATAAAAGAAATACAGCATTTAAAACAAGAGACCTTTTATTGTGAAAATCATCAAATGACCATAAACACACTGAAAATATTTTTTGAGAAACAAAATAAATATTCTGTGTGTTACAAAGTGAATTGACTGTCCACTGGTTAAATTATATAATAGTTATATGACTATGAGCATAAAAGAGAAAGAGATATCACAAAATATCTGTCGACAATTCAAGTGCATGTACTTTATATGAAATAAATTAAACTATTAGTAATTTAAAGTAAACACACCGTGAGCTCCGACATTTCACAGCGTTATATTAAATGTATCTCAACAGTGCAAGAGTTTTCTCCTCAGTAAATTTTTAATGTGAATTATGCCACTTGTAGGTGATATAGCTAAAAAAATCATACATAATGTAATGTAGTACATATCTCAAATTATGTGGTGTTTGGGAACAGTCGAACACTGGGTATTGTATTATAGCAATATATGTGACAAAACTTGCAAAATTGAAATAAGCCCAAGGAATATCAAACGCCCTTTATATTCGCTGTATTCTTCACTATGAAAAACGTAAAATATTATTGATTGAATTAAAGTATTCCTTTTGTATAACTTTCAGGTTTTTTAAGTTGGTATAACGTAACTTCTTACTAAACACTCATAGAAATGAGAAATTTGTGTTTTAAGAATGTTGAGATTTTAAACATGTAAAATTGTGAACAAAACAAAGTCCAAATTCATCCAAGTTAAATATCAAATAAAAAAAATATAGAAATTGCTACCCAAGTGCGACGTTACACATCGATAATAAAAAAAATAGCAAAAGGGACATGATTATTGCTACTATTTTGCTACATGTTTTTGTATTCGATGCTATTTTTTCATATTATCAGTTAGTAAAATCACTGTTGCATGATAAAATACTATACTTCTTTGATTTAAAATGTTTGCAATCGGGTAATCTAACGTCACCTCATTGTATGTTATATTGAACTGTAGAGAAAAAATATGTAAGTAGCTTGTATGAATAAGGTATCAATATATGTATAGCATAACAATTTTTTCGAATATAAATCAACAATTTCCAGTGCTTCACTTCTACATGCTTGACAAAATTTGTTTTAAAAACCAATAATAAAATCAAAAGTAATGTAAACGATAAACTCAAATAAACACTTAACTGGAACAATAAAAAAACTAAATCGCTTTTCTTAATCAACTTGCTTTGATTCACAATGTAATAAAATTTAAGACTGGCTCTTTTAAAATATATAAAAAGAAACTACCCAAATACTTATAACTAGATCTGCGATGTTACAGAGACAGCAAACTCAGTTATTAATAAATATTTACACAAAAAAAACTGAACAAAAAATCAGCGACCTAATTGAATACTATAAAACTTTCTTTTTTAGATGAGTGATGCCATATAAACACATCTTTAAAACATTTCCACAGTCCGTTCCTTACTTACTAGTACATATTTTTTAAACTATGCAGTCCGGTTGCAAATTACCAGCGCCACGTGTTATAACACTTAACACCATCTAATAGAGTTTAATTTCGTTAGACACACGCGTCTTATATCTTTTTTTTCTTCTTATGGCCGTTTCCAATAATCAAATCGTGGAATGAAATAGGTACCTATACCAGAGATTAGTCATCTAGAAATTGTTTGTAAGTAATTGAAAAATAACAACAGTTATTTAGCTTGATGATTAAACTTCGATGAACCTATCTCTTTAAGGGGATAACATTATTGGTAACGGTCAGTAGATATTCAATATAATTATTTATGGAATATGGAAAATATGAAACGGATCACTGTCTATTTCCTGCACAGTTCTATCCATTTCTTCCAAAATTTTTAATAGGTATATTTTAGTACTGGTAATCGTCCTAAATAACTTTTTTAAGAGCACTGAAGTCGGTAGGGCAACTTGCCTATTTCTTGAGTAGCAAGTTCCTGAAATCTGTGTTGGATAGCGGTCGCTTTTCGTCGCCGCTGTGACCGTTTGCTGTAGACGTACTGGCTACTGGCTTCTGTAACACGCTTGGGATGAAACTGCTGAGCTGCGTTCGCCTCCTGCAAAAGAGAATTTCCTACTGAGCAAGATAATTTCCTTGTTTGGAAATATAGGTATCATAAAAATAGAGCTCACGTAGCCATTGACATATAAAAACAAGTAGACTCCCATATCGCCTTACAAAAGAGCGTCAAAAGGCTGCCCAAAGGTGGCAGTTCTGCTAGATCTGGCCTTAGGAGGGGGCTGACTGACGGCCACCTCTATATGGCGGTCGCCCAGCAGCATTCTTAACTCAACATCTTAGCCCAAGAAGAGTAAAATAACTCTCAAAATCTGGCTGAAAATGACACACAATCTTCGAGATACTTACATGCCCTGCCCCTGGTCTCGTTTAGGCTGCCCCAAGGTGGAAGTTCCGCTAGATCTGGCCTTAGAAGGGGGCTGACTGACGGCCAACTCTATATGGCGGTCGTTCAGCAGCATGCCGTTGGTGCCCGCTATCGCTTGCGATTACTATCTAACGCCCTTTTTACAATGGGAGAATGCGTGACCCATATGTCGCCCCTGGATAAGCGACAAGGTTATACGGGACTTCCTTCGCTGAAATCATGGTGAGGAATATCCTAATTTCTTCAGAATAGTAGAAAGGGACCTAACCTAAGAAAAGGGATTCCTGGTCATAGCCACGGTCTGCGAAAGAATATAGAAAGAATTCATCCATGCGTATTCTATAACTCACTATCCTAGCCGAAAAAATAGGAAAATACCCACAAACTTTGGATGAAAACAACATTTATCACAGTTGAAAATGTCAAATATTTTCTTGAGATACTTACATGCCTTGCCCCTGGTCTCGTTTAGGCTGCCCTAAGGTGACAGTTCCACTAGATCCAGCCTTAGGCGGAGGCTGACTGACGGCCACCTCTATATGGCGGTCGCCCAGTAACATGCCGTTGGTGCCCGCTATCGCTTGCGACGCGGACGCTTCGTCTTCGTATTCTACGTACGCGAGACCTTTGGGTTTGCCGTCCCTGAGTAAACAAATCATCATCATCATCAGCCTGTTAATGTCCCCACTGCTGGGGCACAGGACTTCCCTATGGATGGAATAGGGAGATTGGGAGATGACCAACCACGCGGGCCCAGTGCGGATTGGTGGGTCCTAACGACTGCATATGCAGCCGGGACCAACGGCTTAACGTGCCTTCCGAAGCACGGAGAAGCTCGAGATAGTAAATTTTTGGTCACCCACCCAATGACTGACCACAGCGAAAGTTGCTTAACTTCAACGATCGCAGCCGAACGCGCTAACCATGTGCGCCATCGAGCATTAGTTAAGTACTTGTATTGTTTTCACAAATTCTATTTTTTGTTTGCCAATTAAGTGTACTATATGATCTTTAGTTAAACATGACTTTTTAAATTTTACCCAACTTAGGTCAACTAAACCACACATATTTAAATACACTCATCTAAGTCTTGGTTTAATGGTTCTCTGACTACCTAAAAATAATAAGTGTCTTTTTACCTTCCCACAAATATTACCAGTACAATATGAATGGTAACATATAAATCTGACTACTCCTTTCCAAGTTGCGTCTTAAGTTTCTCTACGTACAGAAAATCTGTAGCTATTGTCATATTATCATCCTCAGCCTATTAATGTCCCTGCTGCTGGGTCACAGGCCTGTAGGAAGATTAGTCCATGATCTACACGCGGGATCAATGCGAATTAATAGGTGCTAAAGACTACAAATACAACTGGAACAACCCGCTAAACGTACTTTCTGAGGCACGAAGTTCAAGATAATAAATTTTGACTCCCCATCCAATGACCGGCCAATACAATACAAATGTTAACCACTGCGCCATTGACTTCCTCACAATAGGGTATTTGACAAGTTTTAGAAAACGATCTCACGTTATTTACTGATATTTATGGATTCCATAATATTTAAATATTTTATATATTTAGATATTTTTAATTCTGTTATGAATTCAGTAAAAAAACTAAATTCAATTTTCAAGTTGCCACGTAAACGTTTCTCTGAACATTATGGCGTCTCGCTAGTATGTAACGTCACAAGACTGTCATTAAAACGTCAAACGATACTATCGCTTATATGTTTTGTCACTTTGGGCGGAAGTTTACTAGCGTGTGACGTCATTTTAGTCTTGGTCGATCCCAGGCGTTTTCGGTCACGTGACTATGGAGTAAAAAATCATTTCTATTTCATGATTTTGTAGAAAAGTTATTATTTATTCTTCCAGAATAGTGACATTCCTGCTAATATTCATATTAAATATAGATGCAAACAATTGATACATTATTTTTCATACTGTCAAATAGCCAATTATAATATGTAATGAAGTGAACATCCAATGACAGGCCATTGCGAAATCGAATGTGTATCGAAATGCATCGAATTGTTCCTACATTTGAAATAATAAATGAAATATAAAAATCTATTTACTTGAACGTAACCACTCTAACATCCTTAAGTTTGCCGTATTTATCGAATATTTCAGCGAGCGATTCTTTGGTGCAGTGCGAGTACGGCAAATTCTTAATAAACAGTTTATTCTTCTCCGTTTCTGTAGAGTATTTGAATCCTGTCTTCACTTTCTTTGCGGAGTAATGTGAGAAGAACATCGGCCGCCCTTCTAATGGTGTGCGGTCGTGTTTCAGTGCCTCTTCTACGCAAACCTGTAATCACATATGTATTTCTGTTAATTTGAGTAGCTTTTTATTCCTTTTGAGCTAAAGTTTGGTAGTGAGTATAACCAATATCGATTGTTGTGAATCGTGGGTAAAGTAAATAAAAACATCATATTTTTAATTTAGCTTCCCGATTTCTCTATGTAGCTAACGTAAATTTTACTATGTATTCTTTTAGCAGACAGGAAAATCTTAATCTGTAAATTTTAACAACTAACTTTAAGCTGTATCTTGCTTTAAATAATGTTCACAACGATTGAGAAAATTTAACACTTTATTGTCGGTGAAATAGTGGAAATAAGTCTACCATACTCTGTTCAAGGATATTAGTTAGAGGAGGACTTAATTTATCACACAATCACTTACACTTCACTTCACAAGAATGGGGAATATGCTGTCATTGCCCTGAGTAACGATAACACAGTCAACCAACGACAACAGGGAAGAAAACTGCCAATAAATCCCGCTAGAGGAGCAGGTCGTACAAATCGAAACAGCTGAAGTCACAAGGAAAACCGTCAAAATCCGATAGACTTGCGCTGCGTTCCAAACCTACGCCCTAGGTGCAACAAATGTCAAATTTGACGAAAGTTTCATACTTTTTATGTTTAAATTGACTTCAGCGTAAAAAGTTGCACTCAGAGCGTAAGTTTAGAACGCAGCCTTGAAGTGAGAGGTTGCTTCTTATGGGCGTTTTCTTCCCCATTCAATACAGTCTGTTATTATCATAAAGGTATAAAAGTAGAGTAGGGGAGATATAGACTCTACTACAAGTGGAAGTGTCCCTGTAATAGAAAGAGAAAGAAGATGAGAGACCGCTAGCTTTCTCTCTCTAATCGTGCATGCGCATTGGCAACCGTAAGCATCTTTATTTATTTATAGGTACATCAACAGCATAACATACAAGACATTCGTAATATATAGAGGATAATTTTACTGTTTACATATGTTTGCCAATTATAGATATACACAACATTTATACCATATCGTTTAAAATGAAAGGAGAACAAGAACATTATCTTTAACAAATGCTGCTATTATTGATTTATTAAGGTTATTTTTATTAAGAACACACAAAAAAAAAAAATTGTTAACTACGTCGAATACACACTGGGAGGCTGAAAGTGATGCAATAGTTTGTTTCTGAAAGTTCGAGTAGAATCGTTGAAAATGTCAATACTGGGTACCTTCATTAACATTTCGTTATACGCGTTGCATATCCTAGCTATGGGATAATGAATACCCAAGTTTGTTTTGTGACTTGGTATATTAAACATTTTTCTACAACAAACATCTTACTATTTCGATGTGATGCTTAGACCAAATATTGGACAGACGACGACGGCGCATGCGTCACAAGAGCGAGAGAGATAGCTAGCGGTCTCTCATCTTCTTTCTCTTTCTACTAGACGGACACTTTTAGAGCCGCTTTCCGCACTCTATTCTTATACCTCTATGGTTATTATAGACTTTTCCGTGAATAGAATATTACAATAGGCAAGGAATGCACTCACAGGTGTCTTGTATTGGCAGTAACATATAGATCCGCCGAACGCCTTGTTGCCGCTCTTCACTCTCAACGAAACTATATCACCGAACTTTGACAATATGTCACGCAGCTTCTGCTCGTCAATCCTGAAAAATACTCGAATGTATCAATTCAACTAGAACGAAGTTTATTCGGTAACGTAACTTCCTGTTTCTATAAAATGTTTACTACAATAAGGTTACTGTCAGTATATAATAGGCTATTCAGTATCACAATAAAGAATTAATTTTGGCATAACATGAATATTGGTAGCGATTTCACTATTCTGACAAAAAAAGTAGTTGATATTATTACTAACAATCATGATACAGAAAAGTATTTATTTATTGTCACTTGACCGAAAACGCCTAGGATGGTGGTACCTGAAATGACGTGATATTATTGTTACATTACTTTGTACTGTATGACGTTTTAAGAGAGCCGTGTGACGTCATCTGCCATAGCACAATAAAATCATTTCTGTGAAATTAATTTTTAGAAAAGTCTCATTTTTCTCGGAATAGTAAAATCACTGCAAATACTTATATTAAGTTCATATGCCAACAATTTGTACTTTATTTTTCGTACTGTCAAATAGCCTATTGTGTGAGGATGCAAACCTATAAATTGGTGAACTTGGTAGTTTGAAATTTTGCTAATTTATCTGCATCTGCAGTCGTTAGGATTAATAGGGTGGTGATGTGAATGATATTTATTTTTAGGGTTCCGTACCTCAAAAGAAAAAAACGGAACCCTTATAGGATCACTTTGTTGTCCGTCCGTCCGTCTGTCAAGACCGCTTTTCTCAGGAGCGCGTGGAGGTATCAAACTGAAATTCATATCTAATACTCAGGTCTACTGTCCCTTGGAGCTGTTAAAAATCAAACTTCTAAGCTAAAGCAATCAAAAGATACAGCCGTTTATGCCACAAATTTCCGCAAATTGCCGAACTTAGAATCTTGAAATTTGATACAAAGTAACGTCTTATAGTACATATAAAGGAAAAATTGCGAAAACCGTACCATTTTTAGTAAATTATACTATAAAAAAATATTTTTGAAAAATTTAAAGTTACTACCTCTTTCTCATGAACGCGTAGAGAGGTATTAAATTGAGTTTGTACGGAACCCTCGGTGCGCTTCACCGACTCGCACTTGGCCATTTTTATGGATAACAGGGCATGTTTAATCAGTATATAAGACAAGTAAGAAAAAAGCAGATTGTAAACTCACTTGAATTCCAAGTTGCTGACGAAGAGTGTGCAAGCGTCCCGTGTTCCCAGAGAACGCTCACTCGATGTCGCATCAGTCTTTATTCTCTTGCTATCAACCTCTATAATTGTGAAACACACATGCATTACTTTTAATATCCCCTAAAATTGACCATAGAAATTTGAAAAACCATTCTGAAACAGTAACATATCTTGCAAACTCCTAAGACTTTGTTCACATGAGGATACTTACGCCAGCTTTTAAACGCGATTTTAAATTCATTAAATCGTGTTAATTTTTCGACTGTTCGCGCGCGTATATCTCTACAGATCTAAGTTCTTTTCTGTTTCATTTATTTCTCGGCATTGTTTTATTTCCGCATAAGTTCTGGCGTTTCAACAACAAGTATCATAAGTTTATAAATATAATAAAACTAGGAAAGCAGGAACTAATATCATCAATAACATATTAATGTCTCCACTGCTGGGGCACAGGCCTCCCCTAATGAATCGTGCCTTCCGAAGCAAGAAGGAGTTCGAGATATTAAGTTTTTGATCACCCATTTGATAACCAGTCACTACGAAAGTTGCTTAACTTCCATGATCACAGACCGAACTCACTAACCACCTGCGCCACCGAGCTCCTCAGAGGAGTTTGATCGAAAACTAAATATACATTGGCTGGAAAATTACAGTTGGGTTACTTTCGAAATCAGTCGCTCTTTTTGGACACAGGATATTGTTAGAGGGCTTATAAAATATAAAAATTAGGAAAATGTATATCAAAATAAAATATTATCGATCATAAATAACACGCCTATACACATAGAAGGCTTTAAAATTAAAGTAGTTATAATTTAAACTTACCTCCGCTATCATCTCCCTCGTGCGTCCTTTTCACTCCGCTACCGGATTGATCTGGTTCAGATTCCTTCTGTTCACTTTCTTCAACTTCCATCTCATTATGTTTTTTCCTTTTTGTCTCAGTGGCCTTAACACTTTCGCCCGACTTCCTCTTATTCTTGTTCTTTGGTGGTTCTTCTTCTCTCTTTTGCTTCTTCTTGTCGAATTTCCCCTTCTTGTCTGCCTGTTTGCCTTTTTGTTTCTTTCCGAACATTTTCTCCTTCATTGCTTGGTACGACTCCTTCCATTCCTTCAGTTTGATCTGAAATGAATGTAGTCAGTCTAGGCTGTTACAAGCACTTATGAAGGTCAAGAAGCTACGGCGGGAGACCTTGCACTGAGAAGAACCGGCAAGAAACTCAGCAAGGGCTGTTTTTTTCCCTGTATTGTTATATACAGAGTCGTCAAGTTGAAAAATGACTACAGAGATACGTCTGGTCACAACCATATATCTATATATATGGTTTCATTGACAAGGATTGACAAGGAAGGAATGGACTGCGCGATACTGGCGTGAAAAGGTTGTCGAATGGCCCATAACAACATTTTAAGACAGATGTCAAAGTGACAAGGATAATCGACAAATTCCGATAGAATTCCGGCTGCGTTCAAAACTTACGATCCAGGTGTAACAAATGTCAATTTGTCATACTTCTCATACATTTTATGTCAAAATTTAAACGTCAGGGTAAAATGTTGCACTCAGAGCGTAGACACAAAGTTACACTTAGAATGCAGCCTTGAAGTGACAGGTTGCTTGGGCCAAACAGCCAAAGCGCCATCTATAATGAGCTTTGCATTTTCTTCCCAACTGCCTTGATGAACTATTGACCGCACGATAGCATCGTCTCTCTTACACATATCTGGTCAGTATTACTTTACAGATGGACAGGAAAGGCTCAGAAAATTCTCCTTGTCTATGGACTCTCTGGACTGAAAACTGCGAACAGTTGCGCTCGCTGCTAACTTCACAATCACCGTACATTTTTTGTCGCACAATCAGTAGATATATCGTAAAGGTTTTGTAGAAAGGGCGAATAAGCCATTTTTTGAAAACTATATGATGATAAAAATTTTAAGAGCGAAAATGTCACATTAGGCCTTTATTCGTAAGAAGTTTGTGATATTCGCCATTACACGCAATGTTTTTTTTTTTGTTCCGAGGGTTATACACTTTCGCCGTTACTTTCCGTCCGTCCAACTGGACATATAAACTAGTTTTTTTAGTATAAAAATATGTTGCCGAAAAATGGAGTGGTTGAGTGGTTATGGGTAGTCATGCTCTCATAAAAATCTCTTCGATGGTGTCGTGTGAGGCGGGTCGTTGCGTTCCCTAAAAAATGGTTAGGGGAAGCGATGGCTGGTTCTTGCGTCATGCTCGTGAACGGGTGCTGCTAGCGGAGATGAGTCTGCTCTTAATTCACTGGGTACTATTAATCGTTGTACTAAACTTTAATCGTTCATTATTATTATTTTTTTTTGCCTAAACGGTAGGACGCGTCATTCCTAAACTTTCTTAAACCAGTTTTTTCTATTTTTTTTTTATTTTATAGTCATAATTTTTATATTATTTGCATTTTTGTGTTTGTAATGGAAAGTGACTTTATGAGTAACCTCATATTGAAGTCATTTTTCAATTTGACGACTCTGTATATAATACAGGGAGAAAAAAACAGCCCTTGCTGAGTTTCTTGCCGGTTCTTCTCAGTACAAGGTCTCCCGCCGTAGATTTGCGAACCGATGGCGTAGCTTTTCGACATTCACAAGTGCTTGTAACAGCCTAGACTGAATAAACGATATTGAATTTTGAATTTTTATGGCTTATTCGCAATTTCTTCAAAACATTGACGATACGACAAAACTAGAGAAAAATTTATAGAAAAAAAAATACTCAGTCTAGTCGTAGAGATGGCGCTGCCTTGTAACCTAAGAAATACTAGAGGAAATTCGACACGGCTATTAAGGTCACGGTGAAATAATTGGCCAGTGCGTTCACCCGGATAGAGGAGGGTGAAAAAATATAATCAACTAAACTAGCTGTGCCCTGCGGTGTTACCCGCGGTTAATTAGGGATATTTTCCCGCAGTAAAACGTTACCAATGTGTTAATCCAGGGTGTCAGCTAACTCCATACCAAATTTTATTATAATTGCTCCAGCCGTTTAGACGTGAAGAAGTAACAAACATACACACTTACAAACTTTCGCCTTTATAATATTAGTGTGACTAAATCATCATAGTCAGCCTTTTAATGTTCCCACTGCTGGGGAACATGCCTGGAATAGGGAGATTAGGCCACGACTCACCACGAAGGCCCATTGAGGATTTATGGGTGCTTACGACTGCAGATGCAGTCGGGAGCAACGGCTTTACGTGCCCTACGAAGCACGGAGGAGCTCAAGATAAATTTTGGTCACCCATCTAATGACTGACCAATAGGAAGGTTGCCAAACGCCCAAAGCGCCATCTATAAAAGCATTGTGTTTTCCTCCCCATTACGTTGATTACCTCGCATGCTTCATAGCACTCCTTGGCGGTTTCCAGAGACCCATAATCACGTTCGTAATCACTCCACGGTCGAGTCACAGCGGGAGGATAATCCACTATGAATCGAAGCGCACGTCGATACAAATCGCGACGCTTGTTCTCGGGAAGAGGCGGGCTGCGCTCGAACTCCATACGAATGAATATCTCCCAGTACTTGCACATGGTCTTGTTCTCACCGTATTCTGGAAACGAGTACCTATTTAGCTAAAGGATCAAAGGATCAAATCACATTGGTGACGATTTCTTTATTATACAAGAACAGTATTGGCGTATAAAAACAAATATACTCTCAATCGCCTAGCAAATGTGCATCAACAAATGTCCGAGCGGCGCTGTGTTATTATCCATACATCAACTTATACAGATAAAATTAAAACATTCGTTCAAATTAGTACGTTATGTCGTGGCAGGAAGGTTCAATATCATCGAGAGTGAAAAGGAATTACAGTGCGAGAATGACATATATACACGGTCACGTGATACACGAGGCGCGCAAGGGAAGAAATATTTTGTTGTAGCTGTTAAATTTAATGAATTAGCAATACTACAATTTTATTAATTAGTAGTGGATTCAGTGGCATTTGCACAGATTTTAATCGAATACTTTGTCATTGCGTGGCATTGTAATCAAGCGCGGTCGAAACACAACTCTCCGCTTGACAATAGACGCGTAATTTAGCTTCCGACAGTTTTTGAGCGCGATTGTGAGTCTAGTTGTTTATATACGTCAATACTCAACTAGCGGACTCAACAGACGTTAAAATTATCCTTAAATCCGAGAGCAGCACCACTTAACGGGTAGACTTACAAGTTATTAATGTCCACACAATAACATAAGAAACTTCTACAAAGTTTAAGAAAACTTAAAAAAGTGCAAGTGCAAGTCGGACTTGCGCACGAAAGGTATTTCTATACAAGATTAAATTAGAAATCAATGAAATATTTATTTTAATTTAAATTATTTTTAAAGTGTCAACCAAATATTTGAAGTCTAACTGTTGTCGTTATTAATAGAGCATTAAACAGCAAAAAATCTGTTAGTTGTATGTAAATTACCCCCCCCCCCCCCCCCTTAAATATTCATTCTATTCCGTCTTTAGTATTTGTTGAAATAGTGGCAATAGAAATACATCTGTGAAAATTTCAACAGCCTAGTGACAGACGGACAGTGAAGTCTGAGCAATAGGATCCCGTTTTTACCCTTTGGGTACGGAACAGTAATAAAGATGTACTCAAGTTATGCCTAACCAGGAAAACTATGGATTCTATTTCATAAATAGAGATTCATTTTTCCGCGCACATGCAATAGTGCTGAAATATCGGAGAATCGCAGACAATGTATAATGAGTTCTTTGTTACCATTTTAGTGGGGTAAACAACGTCTTTCGAAAAAATAAGAGGTACTCACTGAATATTTCCTCGAAGATCTCTTTGCCCTGTTTGGGGTCGTTCATGCGACGATATTCGAGACGCGCCCAGTAGATTGGAATCTCACAGTCGTTCGCCTGTTCGCCCCATGCCTAAATAAAAAGATATACCATTCGTAATATCATGAAACTTTGGATGTTTTTTAGGAAATCACGGTTAAACTACTGAACTTTTTTGCCTGAGGTTTGACACAGGAGATATAAAGAAAAGTTTACTAGAAAAAATTTCACGCGGCCCAGGCAGGAGACAGGACTCGAACCCTTTGCTATCCGAGTGAATGCACTGACCATAATGCTTCCGCGGCCCTGACGGTCGTGTAGAATTTTCTCTAGCCTTAGGCTGCAAGGCAGCGCCATCACTTCGCATTGTAGGTAACCCAATGTCAAATGAATACGTTTACAGGTATCAAACACTTGAATGAAGAAATAGCAATTATACTTATGTTTTTATTCTTTTTTAAGCATTTAACTACAAGTTGTTTAAATCTAAAGAAAAGGGTGCCGGCTCGAGTCCCTTCTGCTGCCTGGTCTGTGTGGAATGTTTTGTTATAATACAAATAGCAAATACGACTAGCCAAGTGAAGTGCCGGTCTATGTAAAACGACAGATTAGAAAACACCAATAACAGATTTGTTTCCTGGGGTAAGTACTTAAATGGGACATTCGACTTTATTATAATGAAATGTTTGTAAGAAAATAAATTAAAGGTGAGTCAGGTATCAAATAGGTAGATTTTGGTGTCGATTCTGGCATGATTCTCAAAAGCTAAACATAAATTTGACAACAGTGTATCCTTGTCATTCTCTACACAGAATGAAAAGGAGAGACTGATATTTTTAGTTTTAAGTTTAGAGAATCCTGCCAGAATCGACACCTTAGTATAGGTGCCCATTATGGCAGGATTCTCTAAACTTGCTACCGCCCGCAGGAACCTAGCATTTTTCCGGGACAAAACGTGTACGATGTCTTGATCCAGGTCACAAACTATAGGCGTACCAAATTTCATCCAAATTCTTTCAGCTGTGCGCATTTTTGCGTGATTGCGTAACGTACAAACTTTCACGTTTGAGGTGCTGGCGAACAAAACGGTATAATTACATAAAATTAGATTTTACAGGAGCTGTATAAAACCGAATAACATACCTCCAGTGAGCTTCTGGCGTGGTTATTAATTTATAAATTTAGTAATTTTAACACTGTTTTAGTCGGTTTTGATTGAAAATTATTTGAGATTCAAAATGAATGGGCCCGAAACCTCTAGACTAAAAAAAAGTAGTTTCCCCAGATGCGTAATTATACCGTTTTGTTAGCCAGCTCCTCATTTATAAGATTAGTTGTATTTCTCACCTCGGCAAGTGTGTCCCAAGCCAGCCTAAATGTCTGCCTCAGTTTCTGCACTTGTTCGTCCGATTCGAAGTTGGTTTGCCGTCGAACGTACTCCAAGTAAGTAAGCCACAGATTCTCCGCGTCGTTGTACGTTAACATATTCTTTGATATCGCCTTCTCGAATATCGCTTTCACCTAAACATAGCAAAAGTGTAGCTATCAATTTTTAATAGCAGCATTTTACCTGAAATAAAATGCATATTAAAATACTTACCTCACTGAAAGCTTTATATTTATATTGAGATAGCACTTCCGTTTCCCGTCGAATTACCATCTGTTTCCGTACTTTTATTCATCTTGTATCCGGTCCAGTGGCGACACCTGGCAGAGGCGCGGCCATTTTTGTTTTCCTAAGTTTTGACAGCGCCATATTAACTCATTGGCTCAATTATTTCACCAGGCAGAATTTAAAGTGAAAGCTTTCAGTGAGGTAAGTATTTTAATATGCATTTTATTTCAGGTAAAATGCTGCTATTAAACTACTTGACCGTCACTGAAAGCTTTATATTGAGACCTGTTTGTTATCGCCTGGTGATCGCCACGTACATAGATATATACGCCAATGTGACAATTTATTATAAATTTAAATATTAACATTTATCAGATTATATGAAACTGTGTAAAGAAACGAGTAAGCTTAAAAATGGATCAAATAATATTATTTTAATCACGCCTTTAATTTCTTCCCGCTTACGAAGCTGCTTTACAATATGTATTATCGATCGCTATATTCCTTTGCTTAAAACTCGCGAAGTATATATATATATATATTTGCTTTGTTAATGACCGGACGCTTCCTTGTGTAGCATTCATTTGTATCTTTGTATACCACAAATAAGGCGTACGAATGCGAGAAAAAGATGTAAAGTTGTTCGATACCGAGTCTTACATTTTACAAAACCAAAAATCAGGGTCCCACTTACGATTACCATTATTCAGTACAAGTGTCTTTAACTACTTTCACCTGTTTTGAACCAAAACAAGGTTAAAACTAATCTTTGTCGGTACAAATACAATGATTCGGGATAATTTGAAGTAGGAACAAGTCATGTGTACCACATGCTGAACCAAATAATACGCAGCATAGGTAATTGCTGTATGACGTTCAGAATAACAACTAGTATGACGAGGTATTTAAAACAGATCATTATGATGTAACGAGTACATTATTGAAGAAAAGGAAATAAGTTAACTTATAGACACAGAATAGTGGGTTACGGACTGATTCTTTAAAAACAATCGACTTCAATATATGTGTTTGCCAAGACAGGTGAGCTTAGGTAATTAGACTTATCATCCATTGGTATATCTTGTAAAAACTAATGGTATGCTATTTAAAATAATGGTTCTTATTTTGAGATAAGTTACGTGTTAAAAATAAGTCTCTCAAAAATCTTGTTAGCTCAGAGCCGAGTCCACAACTTGCGGGATTATTCCGATAAACATTCTTGTTCCTAGACCAATGCAACCACGCAAGCCAGCGTTTCCCAGCCATCTCATAGCTGTTTAAGACAGAGCTGTCGCTCTTTGTAGAATATGATGAAAAGCGTAGTGCTAGCATATCTATTTGATTGGAGTGGAGATTGAAGTGAAGTGGTAGAGCCGTGTTCAACTACACTTCCCAAGCTTTCATATTAGATTGGCGGGAAGTGATTGCAAGGTCGATTGCAGTGAATTCACAATTATTGTTAGAAGTAGGGAGTGGTTGATACAACCCCAGGGAATGACTAAAATGTTGAAACCGATCAACTTCTGAAGTTTACGTTTTTACAACGAAATTCTCAGGTATAGTTTTTATATTGTTGCAGGGTTGCCGTGATAAATTATGCTATTACGAAGTTCAGACCAGATTTTATGAAATTCATTTGCCATCCTGGAATCTATAATTGATTGTAATTTTTCCTTTTGTTTTTCAGTTCTTGGATCTGAGTAATTTTTATGTATTACTTAATACTAAATAAAGATTTAGTTATTTATAAGATTTACACAGCTTACATGAGGTGTGCATGTACTATGCGTAGGGTTTGAACTATATTTATTCCAGACAGTCGTGGCAAGATTAGAAAGCGTAAGTTTAATATTAAAAACAGTTTTCATTATTGATTACTAAAAATCACATAAAGTGGTTAATTGCATACAATGATCTTCAAAACCTTTCAAGAATTTGGTAGATCGTGCAATCTTTCTTCAGTACATAGCACCACTTATATATCAAAATGATCATGTTGGCCACCTCAGACACCACATACACGACATTTCTAATATTCCAAGTTTCTCTCATTACGAGATCAAAAGAGTGAGCAACCCATTTGGTTTACTTTTGTTATTTTCAAGAGAAAATATGTTATCATCTATCTATCTGGCAGATAGTCCTTAAATTGCAGAAAACTTAGAATTCTTTACATATTTATAGTGTACTGCACTTGAGATTGGAGTTTGATATTTATTGGATTTAGATAAACAAGCTTTTAAATGGCATGCGATACCATTAAATTTATTTAAGAATTATTTGTGGTGCTCCCAATTTATCAACTGTCCTGCACAATTTTTCCATATTCCTTTTTCTTTTGAAATGTATTACAGCACGTCGTCGATAACTATATTACGGTAGAACAACCGTAGTGATCGAGTCAACACTTCACACCAATTAGCCTAGCCTCATAATAGGCATTAAAAGGCTTGTGTTATGGGCTAACGCATAGAAATGCATAATGATGATGCATAGATTAGTATGATTTTGAATTAATATTTGTTAACAACCAAGACTTAGGCACAGATGCTCGTTTTTATCATACAATGATTTGCCCCACCGGGGTGAACCCAAGACCTCGGAGTATGCGACACCTTAAAAACCACGTACATTGCACTTCCCAACGGGGTACGTCAACATTCGATGTTCGATCTTTATAGTCTATTAAGAGGGTAGTTTATAGCCGATACTTATGTGTGTACGCAAGCCATGAGCGGGTATGTTGCGTTGCGTTGATGTATGGATTTCCACGCGATGGAAGTAATGAATTATGTCAAGCGACATTTTTTATATTTTCAATTTACTTATTTTTAATGTTTCGAATCGTTTACACTTTTACAGACCCCATGGTCACAAAAATAAATTATGAATCACAAATAGACTACATGTTAAATTATGCATAATTTGCGCCACTCGAGTGTCGTATGTTACCGGTGCTTACATAATAGTACAAACTCTATAAGCGAACATGTTCTAAGGAGAACATATATTGAGCTTCACGTAATGGAAATAATATATTATGTGTGATATGACCCCACAAGGGCGATTATCAGATTGATGAGGATATTCCTCTATTAACGATGTTTTGTTACCGATACTTGTATGTGTAAGCAAGCCATGGAAGGCAAGTCCTTATTCATAATAAGTTCCATACGGTGGAAGCAAATTATACATAATATGCCCCCGCGAGGGGCGGTCATTAGAGTTTTGGTAATATGCACGCCGCGAGGGTGGTTTGCTACCGGTACTCGTATATGTAAGCAAGGCATTAGAGGTATTTCATAAGGTTTCACGTAGTGGAAACAAATTGTATATAATATGCACCCCGCGAGGGTGATTTGCTACCGGTACTCGTATATGTAGGCAAGGCATTAGAGGCATTTCATAAGGTTTCACGTAGTGGAAACAGATTGTATATAATATTCACCCCGCGAGGGTGATTTGCTTCCAGTACTCGTATATGTAGGCAAGGCATTAGAGGCATTTCATAAGATTCCACGTAGTGGAAACAAATTATATAATATGCACCCCGCGAGGGTGATTTGCCACCGGTACTCATATGTGTAGGTACGCCATGGGAGGGCATGTCCTGACACGCTTTGGGCTTCATAAGATGAAGCTTATGAATATCACTTGCTTCTGCGTGAGTTGCTCATTAGGTTGATGAAATGTCAATCACTTAAATCCATGACAAATACTTACTTAATACGAGAAAAAACAACCTCAAAAGCTCTGAATCATTATGGGTGATTAGATGGTATCTTATTAAGTGGTGCTTCATCACAGAGATCATTAACTTCTTAAGCAGTGCTTTAGTTTTTACTTTTTAGCTTTGTGCCCTCTCTAGCTGTAAAAGACCTAAGAAACGATTCTGTTATCTTATCACTTTCGTTATTAAAATTAACTGAGCAGGTGCTTTCCCGCAATGATAGAAATATGAAGTTGCTGAAAGAAAATTAATGTCAGGAACGTGATATATCATAAATTATCATCATACTTCTTTACCTCGTTGTTTGTTTCCAGGTTGATAAAGCCTGGACTATGATTGTAATTTTCAATTTACATCAGCATATCATTTAAAATAAACGTTGAATGTCTTTCGAACAGAGCGTTCCTTTATCCTAGTTTAGTCACACGACTCACATGAGAATTTTTATTACGTGTATTGGTCAGTAAAAATGTTAGAACTTTTTATTCATAAGCCTTTTGATATTGATAGCTGGCCATGTTCAGAAAACGGCACATCGACATTAGAAATACCTTATTAAGATTGTACATAGTTCACTTACCCCTCGAACAATCTTTTTATAAAAGGGCTGGAATATCAAGCTCGCTTACTTTTCCTGAGGCAGCGATACCGCTTTCGTTATACCAGAAGACGACATTTTCAACCAATTATTACTGCAGCTGTTCGAAGAACAATTATGACTGGATCCACACATCTTGCTGTTTTTGCCACTAATGCCCGTCAGTCAACGGCTGAAACGTCAATATTGACCGATGTTCCTTCACTCTAAACTGTAAAATAATTTAATTAAGTATTTTGTAATACATTTACCAATTTACTTTCACACTTACTTATACGGAAACATTAATTGAGTACCAAGAGAAAACACTCTTAAAATAGTTTTTATTATAAACGACCAAGACAGTCGTAAAGTATTGCAAATTTTACTTTAATGTAGGTACTTTAATTTTTTAAACAAAACGCTCCTTGAATGACCGTCAAGTTTTACTCACGGCTTATTATTACTTTTTTAAACAAGGGTATTGCACAATTTAACATATTTGTTTTAAATATCCCTTATCACAAGGGCTGCAAAAACTATCAAAAGGAATAATAGTTTTACTTACGGTTCCTTCACTTTTAACACGTAAAGTACCT